CAACATCATCTTGTCTTGACTTGTCTGACTTTTTGTTCCTTTTTCGACTTCCAAAAATTTGTCTTCACTTTATTTGCATATCAATCAATAGGTTGTGCTTATAAACCTGCATTTCCCCTCTGGTCTCTCAGTCAGTGACGAAAGCTAGTGGATACTAGCTGAAACGTCTGACGTTTTCAAAATCATATCCAGTTGCTTGAGTAACTGCTTTTTGGCCTACACCTTGCATGTTCCATGAGACTCACCTCCTGCCCTGACGCTGTGCCTTGTACATAATGTATTTTAGTTGGAGAACAGCTTAAATTTTCCACAAGATATTTAGGAACTACAAGCTATTCAAAATTGGTTTAAGTCTAATGTTTAGTTGGAGAACAGCTGATCTTTTTGACAAGATATTGACAAAATGCAAGCAGTTTTCAAGACATCTTGTATTTGTGTTCCATGAGACTTACCTCCTGCCCTGCCGCTGTGCCTTGTACGCTGCCCTCTCTGCTGCTTTCTCCCTTAGGACTGCTGGATCCTGGACAAAGTCTTCCTTCTTATCCTGCAGAGGAATAAACCGTAAAATATCAACATACACAACTACAACATTCTTCTGAAGAAAAATACAATGTACATTTAATTTGTGGAACCTGGTTTGTAGGTAAATCAGAAGTAGATAAGGTGTGCACAAAGTAGTGTGGTTTGTTGAGTGAAAAGTGACCCTGCCTCTGGACTGAAACGTTGGAGTTCAAATTCTGGCTCTTGTCACTCATCCAACTTTCATGTTACTGGAAAGGGAAACAGTCCTTCAGGCAGGAGCTTGAGCTGTGGTCCTCTGTTAATTGTGCTTGTTGAAAAGAGCAAGGGGAATTTTCCTGGTACAATGAACCTGTAAATACTGTACATAGCATCTGTCTTCTTTGTAACAACTAGTAGAAGAGCATTCTCAACTGGTTCAAGATTGCTTTTCACAACTAGAAAATTCAAAGATGCTACACTGTCTTAAGTCGATGAAGGTTAGACATCCAGGTAATAAGATATGCCAAAAAGCAGTTACTCAGGCAACTGGATTTCCAAAATCATATCCAGTTGCTTGAGTAACTGCTTTTTGGCAATACTGTCTTACTTTTGGTCCTCCTTGTTCCTGAGCATCCTCTTCCTCACTCTCCTCTTCGTCCTTCCCTCTCCTTCCTTGGTTACCTGCCAATATCTTCGGAGTCACAAATTCTCTGTACAATGGACACAAAAACATGTCAGTCAAACATTGAACCAACAGTTACTACAGTAAGCTCACGCTTATATCCAGGTTAGACCACACTGACACGATTATAGTCAAAAGTTTATTGCAAGTTCTTGCCCATAGGCTAAGTTCATGTAACATAAAAATAAAAGACGGATAATGGATAACAATGTAGTATGTACTATCATGAAAGTTTATCTGTGTTGGTAGGAACCGTTGAAAAACTTCATCAGGCGATTTTTTTTTTAATTTCCTGGATAAATAAATAAACAAACAAGTATGTGACTACTCTAACTATTAAACACATAATTCTAAGGTATTATATTTCTTTTTTCCCCCAACTTTTTGGTACCATTGGAATGCCCCAAAATGGTAAGAAAAACAATAAAAACAAAACCTCACCTTCCGTACTCCTCCACAGCTTTGTTCTCTTTTATCATCTCGTCTGCTGAGTCTGCATCCATCTCCCCGACATCATTTGTGTCATAAGTATCATCATACTCATCATCATAGTCATCCACCATGTGCAGGGCTGCCATTGGTCCGTTCAACTCCTCTTCTGGAACTTTCTCGTACGTCCCGTAGTTAAAATACTGTTCTTTTAGGGACGAGAGGTCGGGCTTGTCTTCGTCCATGATTTTCTTGGTGTTCACCTGCTTTGGTTCTCTGTAGAGAAACGTTATACAGAGAACACGTGTCAAATGATGAAGTGAGAAAAAGAGTCAAGCAAAACATACATGTGGGTCCTTACCAAGACCTCCTAACTAACCACATTAAATTTAAAGAGATGGAAACAAAAGTGGTATGGCCACGTGTCACGGTCATCAGGACTAGCCGTAACAGTCCAGGGAGGAAGAAAGAAGGGGTGGGTAATGGAAAATATATAGGAGGATGATATCAGAGAATGGACCAGTGCAACAGTAAAGAGAAACATTAAGAAGAACAGAAAACTGAGAGGATAGAGAAAACTGGATGACATTGTGAGAATTTCTGTGGTGCAAAAAATGGTCAAATTTTCGGACTATGGGATAGATAAGAAAACAATTCTTGTTGTCGACTATCAGGATTCAGAATACTGTTTTGAAAAGAAGACACATAGCTAATAAACCTAAAATAGGTGGGTTTGAGATGATGTCAAAGGGCTGCATACACACTAACAAAATTCTTACTGTCAATTTTAAGTTTTTATTGTTCCAAAAATCTCACCGTTTCCCCTTGAAGACTTTAGACATGTCGATGTCGTCCCTGGAGAAGACGTCAAACTCGTCGCCTGCGAAGACGTTTGCTCTCTGGGACAGCAAGGTCGTGTCAACGACCTCTTCCTTCTTCTTTTCAGCTGGCCTGTGTTGGTGAAGACAAGACAAGGTGCAAAGGAAAAATGTTTAATGTACAATGTTTACCTTTGTATGATCTAGTCCAGCAAACTTTACTGCTCTGTTTATTCTTACTCAAACACATTCAATGACATACATATGCAATATGGTGACCAGCCCCTCTAACTCTGTCCTGCAACTTGCTACATGATGTAATCCAACACCACAGGATGTCTACTACAGCTGCTAGTGTGAGAGATGTCTGACCCAGGTCACTGATCCTATTTGTTTGGTAAACATACCGGTAATAAGCTTTATAGTATTTAAATGAATACTAAGCACAGAATGAGAGATCATAATTTTAGCTATAGACTTCCAGGACGTATTATGTAATCCTTGTCTTCCTGAATTTCCCATGTCAACCTCTATACATCCTGGTGGCTCCCGGCCAGATGTGTCATTCTGCCTGTCAATCTTTCACCCACCCTACTGCTGTCAACCTAGATCTGTATGGTCAAACAGGTAATACTATGCAAACCTACAGCTCAGCCACTAAAGCAATTGTACCAAGGAAAATGTATTATTTGTCAATGAATAAATCATGCTGTATATATTAAAATATAACTACATTTACCTTTTCATACTTCTGTCCAGTTTTTGCAGCTTGGCAGGTAGCTTTTCTTCCAGTATGTCATTGATGACTGTCTCAACTTTATATCCATATTCCTCTAGGCAGGCCTGAAAAAAAACATTAACATTGTCCACAGAAGGGTACAGTTACTGTATAATATAATAGTGACAAACAACAATTTTTTGTTGCTTCAACTAACAACCTTTGAAAGAAACTTTCAAGATGACTGGAATTCTTTATACTTACTCCTTTGTTCTATAGATGAAAAATATACCTGTCCAGAAAGGTAACATTTGGAATGCAAATGCATAATGCTTACCTTCGATCACATGGTCTAGCCTAACAAACTACAGCTCTGTTTATTCTTTGCATTCTTTATGGTGAGCAGGCTCTCCAACTCTGTTCTGCTACATAATGTAACCCAAATCCACAGAGTGTCTGCTACAGCACCAGTTACCATGGTGACAGACATCTGGTCCAGGTCATTGACCTCATGCGTTTGGATCCGAAGAAGAAGAGGAAAATGAGCAAAAACAAGATGTTTTCCTTCTGCAAAGGTAAACATAAAAAAGAGATGAGATAACATTACCATAATGAAGCCCTCCCCAAGTTCAGGCAGGAGATCTCTAACTGCACTGATGAGTGAGTCCATCTCTACTCCACTGGGCTGGGGGAAGGCACAGGCTCCCTCCTGGGGATACAGGGAGATGGGCATGGTTAACACACTAACATGCAAAAATTGCATACAATTACTGTGTATAAATCATATCTTGATCCATTAGATCAAGATATTAGACTATACTAGTGCAGCTGTAGAAATGTATGTAAAATCAGGAACAGGTACATGTACCAGTACAGCCATACCTGTACCTGAACTATTAAAAGTGATTTTCAATTATAGCAGAAACATGAATACAACAGTTAACAGAATGTATATTTGTACTTCAGGTATCTTAATGCAGAGAATCTGTGCTGTCAAATTGAACTGAAATCAGGTATAGTGCTGATTTCAATGCCATACAATGTCCATCTTTTTTCAGGACTAAATTTTCATTTTTGTAGTAGAAATAGCACATGTTTATTTAGTAACAAAGCAATACAACAAGTTCAAACTTGTTGAATTGCGTGTGTAAGATTATTCAGGTACAGTGTTGGTACATTGATGTTCCAGTGTTTTGAACCTGTGCCTACTAATTAAATGATTTTTGAGAAGAGTTGTAAAAAAAACTCACCAAACCGTCAAGAGCAGCCTCATCCTGTAAATCCTCCTGCTGTACCCTATTCACAGGTGTCCTTCCAATCCCATCAGCCTTCAGCTCCCCATTCCACGATGCAGCATGATTTGGTCCATTCCCATCACCCCTAGCTCTCCTGTCCTTACCAAATGACTGATAGGCCTGGTCGACAGCTCCGAGAATAAAATCTGTTCTGGTGACATCTCTGTGAGCAACTCTCATCAAGGAAGCACAACTTATCATCAAAAGATATGGCATTAGAACTTGCTGCCACCAAGTACAGCAGGGGCATCATCACCGGACAGCTTTAAACAAAAGTTAATGTTACATGTGAAAAAGTTAGGTGTAACAAGGCGTTCGGTGAAATGTAGCTAGCTGCCGCCACGCCGCATACCTGTGAAGCTGGTGTGTTACGTGGAATAGCAGTTATACTGACTATATGGCGGACTGCCATCAAGCTGCAGTATTGCTGTGCAAGCATGTCTAACCCTCAGAAGTCGGGGAACAACAGACGCTAAATGGGATAGTGAGTGTGTGTGTGTGTGAGTGTGTCTTTTGGATGTGCATTGAGAAGGATACACACTATCACAGGCCTGGTGAATAAGGTCTATGTCCTCTTGTACACTAAACAGGCAGTCTAAATCATGGAGAAATCTGCAACAAGAGAACAATCAGTTACAAACCATCACATTGTACTGTGCTGAATATGAAAACTGTACATTAATGGTAGATGATATTATACAAAAATTACCAAAATAGATTAATTCAGTAGTGCTGGACAATCAGATAACATTGTACAGTAATGATAGTACAGTAAATATTATTATTAGACTAAGTATAATTTTCATCAGAAACATTTCTAGAGTTTCTGCATCTAATATGTATTTCCTCACCTTCTCTCAGACAGCACAGCAGACATCACATGGAGGTAGTCCTCTACATAGTTCAGCACAGCCTCCAGGGATTCACTGGAAATGAGAAATTAGAGATTTTAGACTTTCGGAAATTACACTGTATTGGGTTTTGGTGACCCTGCATTCACAAACCTCCGGAAAGTGTTTTCATGGATGTATTGGAACTGTATGATGTAATGAGATATAACACCACTTCCTGAATTCCTCCACATACTACCCACTTACGCCAACCCAATATATGCTGGGTCACCAACAGGCTTGGCGTTCCTTATCAATCATCTGTCAAAATCTCCTCCCACCCACCATCAGAAACACACAGCTCAGTCACCCAAAACAATACTTCTGTAGTGTTTCCAGATTCCCAGTGTTTCACCTATTCTCCAGAATAGCTTGCAGACAGCATGTGGAAATAATGTGATAATAAAACCACTGCAAAAGTTTCCAGAGTTACAGTAGTTGTTTCACCTGTTTTCTAGAATAGGTTGCAGGCAGCATGTGGAGATGATGTGATGACATAACTTGACCAGCATGCCTCTGGCCTGGCTTAGAACTGCATCTAACTCACTCCAGCTGGTCCTGAAAACAACAAATTCAACTCTTAGTGTTCAACATAGCATATGATAGCAACAATCTATTTATTTATTTGTTTGACTGTAAAAAGACAATTTGTACAGCCAGGGCAGCCCAACTAGCCAGGAGGCTATTGTTAAGGGCTTGCCCTGCTGACAATCTATTCAGTCTCTCTGAGATTTCCGAATTCTGGATTAAGATGTTCATGACCTTCAAGTTGAGATCTTGATGGAAGGGTTTTGCATTTTGCTGAACGTATTTGAACTAATTTCTACCATTTCCTGAATTCATCCACTCCCACCTGGCACATGCCGGGTCACCTTCCCAGTCAATCAACTGTCAAAATCACTTCCCACCCACCATGCAACAGAAGCAATTAGAACAGAGAGACACACCCACAAGTCAGACACCCAAAAGCAGTATGTACAGTATACTTACTTTCCTACCCAGAAGTAAGAAAGAGGGCATTTCTGAAGATGTCATTGTCAAAATTTGGCATTGCATTTCTTGTGCTTTCTTTTCAGAAGTATACAATGTAAATACAAATGTATTACTAGTATATGGAACTTCTGATCAAGTTCCTGACAGTAACATTACTTACTTCCCTGTCTCCTGAGATATTCTGTCCATCAGCAGTATCTCTAATGCTGGAACAACCAACTCATAAAAACTGCATATTCTGCAACAAGGAAAACATATAAAAAGTCAACATGAGGCATAACATATAAATTACATTGCAAAACAAACTTGATTCCCATACTGTACTTTCAAATACATTGAGATTGTAAAGAAAGAAATGTCAAGGGATTTGGGGCTCTGCAAACAAACACACACACACACACAAACCCCACACACAGCTCAGCCACCCAAAAACACCTCATATGCATAGAGGTAAACAACTGTACCTGTGTCTAAGCTTTTATAACCTGTCATTTTACCTGTCAATCTTCCTCCAACCCATGTGCTGTCAACCTGCTATGACCAGGCAAACAGACACACAAACCCACACACAGCTCAGCCACAAAAACAACAACCGCACCCTAAGTACCAATGCTTCCATACCAAGTGTTAGATCCGTACCTTGTTACAATGTTCTGCTGATGAAACACCCTACACCCACTGGGGTAGGCCTCTAGAAACACCAGTAGTGTGACAGCAGAGTCCCTCATGTACAGGAGGATGTCCTGTACCTCTCCCACACTCATGGCCTGTAGAGGGGCTGCTTTTCTTTCGCTCAGCTTCTGCGGCACAGAACCACCCTCGTCTGCCAACCCACACTTCTGCATGATGTTGTCAAATACCTGAAATAAAGGGGAAAAATATTCAATAATTCAAACCTCTCTATGTTAGGAAGACATTGTTTAAATCTCATTGCTCTTAACTTTTTGCCTCATAGTTATGGGACTCTGCTAGCACACAGAGTTGTATCAAAGTGTTGAGTTGCTACAACAACTGTTTTCACATTATAATGTCATTATCCAGATTTTGCTGTCCCAGAAAAATGTTTGTTTACAATAGGACTGACACATTTGATGCCACATGGCGTAAAAAAATTTTATTCTTTCATTTCCCATATGTATAACACCCTAAGTAGCAATATTACTACATGTATTAATATGATTTCTTATTGACAGGATGGTCCTGTCAATTGTGCATGTTTTTCCACTACTTACAGGATTTCAATAGCCTTAGACTTTTATCAATGAAGATTGATTACTGAATCTTACCTCAAATATCGTTGGCCCGACTTCTGCCAAGTCGTTGTTGTAGTTGGGTTGTTGTTTGAAGACATTGTCTACCATCTTGGCGAGCACGGCCATGTTCCCCCCAGCGTACAGCACACACAGGTCCATCAGCTTGGGAACGTCAAACAAAAAGTTCTCATACAAGATGTCTCCAAACGTCTTAGGAGTGAAGAAGTTTTCCTGGAGGAGAAATAAAGTACAAACATTACAGAAAATGAATAGTTTCATCGTGAATAGTTTCATCAGGAGGAATAAAACGGTTGCGCAGAAAGAGACTCTTTATTTAAAAATAAAAAGACCTTTTCTTTGCAACTGTTTTATTCAACAAGAAGTTCTTGTACAAGATGTCTCCGAATGTCTTAGGACTGAAGAAGTTTTCCTGGAGGTGAAATAAAGTACAAACATTACAGAAAACTTCTGTGAATAGTTTCATCAGGTTGGTAAGTCATTGAATAAAGAGACTCTTCCAGAGTTACTAGGCAACCAGATGTTTTATTCAACCAACATTTCAGTGATCGTCTGTCACATTCCTCAGCGTAATTGTCGTTGGTTGCATAGAAGGAGTCTCTATATTCATTAACGAAAACTTAAGAACACTCCTAATTAACACAAACTGTTGATTGCATTTAGGTAGATCCTCAAAAGACAAAAATCTTCTGTTCAAAGTAAAAAAAAATGTGTTTCTCCGGTCATGGCCTAGCTACAATTCAGTACAAAAAGAAAACCGTCATTCTTCATTTTGAGCTTAATTCTAAGTACCAGTAAAACATCAATCCCTTATCATTAGTGGAGGTGAGAACTCTGACCTTTGACTCCTTGTGTGTGGCCATCCTCATGAAGACCATGAAGAACAGCCGGTGTAAGGTCTCCTCCTGCTGTTTCAGGTCAGCAGGAAGGTCAAGTGGGGGGTCATAGGACCTAATGTGGGAAAAAGTGTTAGAAGATCACAAATATTAATTATAAAGTTTTGAATATGATGTATTCTGCACTAGATCAATGTTGATCTGTCTTAAGGGCCAGACCGAGGTGTTTTTAACTCTTCATCTTGTCTTTTGTTTAACTGTTTTCTCAATTCAATAAAGATGATGTCAAACAAAACTTCAGTATTTTACATACAAGAATGTCCAGGAAAAAGCTTTCCAGAAACTCTGACCCCAATGCACAGCCGAGAGAGATGGAGGCAGTTGGTCAGACACACCACCATACAGTGCACCCAAGGTACATGGTACTTTACCTCTATCTTTGTTGCATGCATGTGTGTTTGCTTTGTGTTCTTGAGTGATAATGATTACCTTGGTGCATTCTGAAGGTAGGCGTTGAGACAGCTATGCAAGGATTCGTCAAAGATGGTCTGAAATAACAGAATGACAAAACAGACGAGTTTATCAAAGCGCTATTTTCTGTATCTGTAGGGTTAGGGTTGGGGTTGGGGTTAGGGTTGGGTTAGGGTTAGGGTTAGGGTTAGGGCTAAGGTTAGGGTTAGGGTTAGGCTAGGATTAGGGTTGGGCTAGGGCTAGGGCTAGGGCTAGGGCTAGGGCTAGGGCTAGGGCTAGGGCTAGGGCTAGGGCTAGGGCTAGGGCTAGGGCTAGGGCTAGGCTTATGGTTAGGTTAAGGGTTGAGGGTTAGGGTTAGGAAATGTACCTGGCACCAGAACTTGCTGTGAGTGTGAGTCTGCTGCAGTAGCCAGTGCAGGGTTAGGGTTATATGTAGGGTTAGGGTTGGGGTTAGGGTTAGGGTTATGGCTAGGGATAGATGTAGAACTGTAAAAGCTAAGTACCTGGCACCAGAACTTGCTGTGAGTCTGCTGCAGCAGCCAGCGCAGGTCCTGCTCTAACAGAAGCGCCCGCTCCAGCCACTCCTCCAGGGTTCCCGCCCGCTCCTCCTCCCCCAGGGCGGCCGGGTCAGGAGGGGCGACGTACGGCAGGAAGTTCACCTCAACCACCCACCGCGGATGCTGCAGAGAGAACACAGGTGATCAGGGCCCTACACCCATTACTCAACCGCAATATTAATGGGGGTTGACATTGTTTACTGGTAACTCACTTCAGAGAAGCCACGATACAAGTCTTACTGAGTCAGTTTACTGAAGAAATACTAGAGTGACTGGTTGGAAATCTCTTGGATCAAAAGTTTTAACTTTAAACAAAACACAGGTGAGATAGGAGCAGTCATGAAACCCTGGCAACAAAATAAAATACAATTAAAAAAGCACCACTCATGGGACCAATAAAGTCTGGTCTAAATATCATAGACAGGTAGTCACTAAAGCCAAAAGGTAGGATTTGTAATGCTGTAATGTGGCAATGGAAAACCATAAGTCGAGTATATCCGATTAATAATTGGGACCACCAAAAACTCACCAAAACAGGGACCATCTGAGGCGTGCCGAACTCATCTTTAACAGTGACGTACTGCTGGTCCAGGGGCTCAGGGCCACTCTTCTTACCGCTCATCTTACTTAGGGTCAGGATCTGGATTATCTGTTTTGAGAAGAGGAAATATATAGGTTCTGTAAGAATGTTAGGAGAGAAGAAACAGAAAGACACTCCTGGTCCCAGTCCGGGGATCGAATCCCACGCCAAACCCAGGCACCAGCTCCAGACTCCGACGCTCAAATGATTCGGCTAAAACGCCTAGACCCATCGGCCAGGTCAGTGGGTAGCACCTACATGTATAAACCCCCCACTGTTACAATTCTGTGGGGCAAGTCTAGGTGTCTATAATATATTGCCATGGCCACTTTTTTTGTATCCATTGAGGACCCACAGAGGCCAAAGGATACAGGTGACCAATATAGACTCCCTTCAGGCTTGTCCCACAGAATCTGCTTGGAGATTAGAAGACATTTCATATTTGGAGTACTCTATGAATGACTACACATTTCAAACTTTATTAACAAGTTAATGTTATCACAATTGGTTCGCCATAATTAGGAGAATAGTCAGATTTTTCACTTTTCACAACGAATTGCTCTCTTTACAATAACTTATGCTCCTAACAGTTACACAACGTGCACGGACTACACATATAGAGACATGATACAGCATTTGTTGACATCACGTGTTGATGATACGGATATGGACACTTGTGGAAACGCCCCCCTCCCCACCTTACAATTTCGGCTGAATGTTCTCAGGAAATAGCTACTAACATGCACGAAGAAGCGTAAATATGATGTCTTACCGAAATTTTCCTTCACTTTTACTTGAAATGGACTTAAAGTGGTGAAGATGATCACAGAATAGCTTTGTTATTGTCCATACTTCGGCACTGTCTGGCCAGCTTTAGTGATTGCACAACTGTCGTGAAATCCTGCCGCAAGGCGTCAAAAACGTCGTAAAATCCCACCCGCAACACGTCCCGGACCTGCGCAGTGGCCTTCATCCGGGAGATTTCAAGATGGCCGTCAAAATATAGTCGTCGACAGAATTTTGTTGACTTTTGGCAAATATTAGATAATTTCCGCAAAAATGCGACTGTTTTAGACTGACAGGAGTCAGAAAAGGGAAACAAGATGTGGGTGAAGCCAGAAGAAGTCCTCCTGGCGAACGCCCTCTGGGTGACGGAGCGGGCAAACCCGTTTTTTCTGCTCCAGCGCAGAAAAGGCCACGGAGGTGGCGGGCTAACAGGGCTCCTGGTTGGAACCCTTGATACTGTACTTGATAACAACACTGCTCCTTACAGGATCTTACACCAGACGCCCACATCCGAGGTCTACTGGACTGTCGCTTGTGCTAAGTCTAAAAAGGACGTCTTCAAGGACTGGGAATGGCTGGAGCAAAACTTGATGCAGATTCTGGGAGAGTTCGAGGCCGAAGAGGACGTCACGGAATTTGTCCGGTGTGTATATAACGGTAATAACAGTACAGGGCTCGAAATTTTTTTCTACCTTCGCCAAGAATTGACGAAGGTTATGTTTTCCTGCCCGTGTGTGTGTCTGTCTGTGTGTCAACAGCATAACTCGAGAAAGCTTATATGGATTATCTTGATATTTGGTAGGTGGGTAGGTCGTGATGAGAGCTGGAAATGATTAGATTTTGGACCCCCTAGCGGCTTGTTATGGTACTGCAGCTCAACTTCCGGTTTTGATATCTCATGATCTAGACATGCTGGGGTAACGAAATTTTTTATTATTCATCAAAACATAACAAGGACAGTGTGGCGCTGTACTCAAGTTTATAACTTACATTAACAGCGCCACACAACAAAATACAATTAACATTTAAAATACACAAAGTTGACATACCAGTGCGCCATAGTCCCACCACCCTAAGGCATAAAAAATGTCAATGCTAACAAAGTTATTTGAAAAGATTTTGTTGAGCTGGAGTGGCTGTTAAGGATTACATGTTAACCACCTATACCTCATTGGCTTGAAATTCATTTTCATTGGCTTGAAAAACAATGATCTTAATTTTCTGACACTTAGATATTAACAGAATATGCTCCATACTAGTATACGTTTAACATCTTAACATACATCAACCTAAGAAATTATTTGGGTGCACTGGTGCACCCACGGACAAAAATTTGGGTGCACAGCTCCAAATTTGGATGCACTAAGGTGCACATGCACCCAGTATTTTGAGCCCAGCCCAATGGGTCCTGGACCTTTTGGCCTAATTAGTCGTTGCGCTGGTTGTGAGCTGACCTTCGAGTTATTCCTTTCTCCCTCTCTCAACCTCACCACTAGGAACACCAATAACACCAGAGGTCATCCACTAAGCCTGCAAACATTCTACTGTAAGACAGACACACATCACAGCAGCTACATACCACGTGCAATAACAGACTCGAACCTACTACCCACAGACATAGTCACATGTACTTCACTACCGAAATTCAAAATGGGACTGGCCTGACACATGGGCCTTCCCATATCTGAGTAAAATATACCATGCTAAGACGGCCATCACTTTTTTTTTTCACTTTTTTATCACTTTGTACAGATAGTTAAGTTTCGTTTCAAGCTGTTACGACCACCACCGACCATACTTTAGCCATGCACCTGGATCTCATCTGGACATTATACCCCAGAGAGGGTTTTGATCCAGTATTTATAAGACTGAGACTAAGAGTAGAAAGACTTGTGTTTCAGGTGCAAGATCGAGAGTTTGCTGGCAAACGATGTGGACGAGGAGAGCAGCAAGGAGGACAACGACACCAAACGCTTCCGGGAGGCGTCCGCCAAGTTCCAGAAGCTCTTCAGCATGCCGGAGGAGGAGAAGCTGGTGAACTACTACTCCTGTAGCTACTGGAAGGTACCTGGCGAATTTATTTACATGTTTGAGCTAAGTAGTTATGACGTGCCATCTTGCAACCTACCTGTTCTAAGGTAGCGTTTCTTGTGTTTTATACTTGTATAGTTAGATAACAAAGATAAATATTATGCCAACAGTTTTTGATATGTAAAAAGATTACTCAATTCAGCTTATGGCTGCAATGTACTTTTGACTCAATCAAAATGATCAAGTAAACCATCCATTCATTCATTAACTATCCATTCATTCATTAATGTGTTATACAGGAATGTGCCACTCTTTACTGTGTAACTTTTGATAGGCTATATGATAATAGTGTTAATGGCCCGCCCTTTCTCGGTGAATATGGTGTAATAAAGCCTTGTCAGTTGCTTTATTCGGTGGGTATAGCAACTCAGACAAGGCTTTTATCACACCATATTCACCGAGAAAGGGCGGGACATTAACCCTTAAAAAAAGTACTCAATTCTGCCCATTGCTGCCATGTACTTTTGACTCCATCAAAATGATCAAATAAACCATTCATTCATTCATTCATTCATTTATTCCATTATAACATATACATGTATTGAAGTTAGATTAGAATATTAGTTTATAGTTAAGTGTTACTTGCCATACATTGTATCCACTGCAATTGTTGGGCTTTAAACTTGACTCCATTCATTCATCCATTCATTCATTTATTCATTCATTCCAGGGGAGGGTGCCGCGGCAGGGTTGGATCTACCTTAGCATCAACCACCTGTGCTTCTACTCGTTCCTGATGGGGAAGGAGGCGAAACTGATCGTCCGCTGGACGGATGTGACCCAGCTGGACCGCAGCAACAGTATGGTTCTGCCGGAGGGCATCAAGGTATCTGTATTCGAATGAAAGCCCATCTTTGTTGGTAGAAATAATAGTGGCCCTGTGAAAAAAAAATACTAGTATACATGTATGGCCAAGTAGGGAAATGAACTTAGGAGATTCGAGGGCAAATCTCAGAGAAGAGAGGGAGTAGTGTAACGGGGAGTATATAGGCGACACTAACTACCCAGACAATGGGTCCTGGACCTTTTGGCCTGGTCGGTTAGTACGCTGGTTGTGTGCTTCTACTCGTTCCTGATGGGGAAGGAGGCAAAACTGATCGTCCGCTGGACGGATGTGACGCAGCTGGACCGCAGCAACAGTATGGTTCTGCCCGAGGGCATCAAGATATCTTCATCTGTGGGGGGCTCCGGAGGGGGGGATAGGTGCAAGGCAGCCCTAAAGGTATCTACTAACAGTGCCTGTATGGCCTGGGCAGGCAACTTATTCCATTCGCGTATAGAGCGGGGGAAAAAGAACAATCAAAGCCGTCAGAATGAGGTGGTATTTTGGGTCATGGCTGCCTCTGGGTGAGTTGAATATTGCTCCATGGGTATGTGTATGTGACCATGAATTATTTTGAAAAGTGTAGTCAGACGTGCTTCCCTCCTTTGATTGGCAGTATCTGTATCTGTATGGCCAGGATAACCGGGATAACTGTTTTTTGGCTTATCGTATTACCTGGATGTCTAACCATCACCAACGCATTTTGCACATCATTTGGTCATTTTGCCCATCATTTTGTACCTTCAGGTGTGCACGCGGGACGGGGCGCACCACTTCTCGATGTTCGTGCACCCGAACGAGACCTACGCTCTGATGGAACAGTTGGCTGACATGGCCATGAGGCAACTGCTGTCAGAGGAGGGCTTCGAGGAGGACCGCGAGCTGCCGCGACGGCTCAAGAAGCTCACACCGAAGAAGGTCTGTATCTGTATAACCACTCTTGGCGTAACACACCAGCTTCTGTATCTGTATAGCCGGTATAACCGCCCTTCGGCGTAACACACCAGCTTCTGTATCGGTATAGCCGGTATGACCGCCCTTCGGCGTAACACACCAGCTTCTGTATCGGTATAGCCGGTATGACCGCCCTTCGGCGTAACACACCAGCTTCGCAGGCATACGGCACAGCAGCAGCTGGCTATATTACACCGAACAACTTGTTACACTCAATCTTTGCACATTTTAATTGCAGGAGTTGTTTAAAGCTACCTAGTGATGATGCCCCAACTGTGCTTGGTGGAAATTTTTGAACACCTCAATTCTTGGTTGATAACTCTGATATTTGAAGGCATGACTGTTTCTTGTTCTTTTCTGGGCTGGTATCAGATAATTAGTGGTTGGTATATACCACCACCAGTTTATTAGTCTTTGTACATCACTTTGTCAATCACTTGAGATCTTTATTTGCAATCAGGTATAGATTCATGTGCAGATACATATTCATGTACAGATACAGATAATCAATTGAAATGGAAACTTCAACATACTAAGCTACAATGTACAATGTGGGCATGGTGGCCTTGAAAAGGTGCTAAGTGACTTAGGTGCACCTGTTCCACCATGCCCTGCATGTATAGTTATGTATGTGGTCAATTGTAATAAATAAATAAATAAACATACAATGTAATTCTTTAATTCATTCAAGGTTTCGCTGCTGAAGAGGGACCTGGATGCCCGGGCGAAGAGCGAGGCCTACAGAACTCTGTTCCGGCTCCCACTGACCGAGAAGCTCGACGGGCGCACGGAGTGCACGCTGTGGACGCCGTACAACAAGCGGCACATCTGGGGGATGCTCTACGTCTCCCCTAATTACCTCTGCTTCATGAGCCGCGTCGCTAACGAGGTCTCCCTCGTTATCCCCCTTCGTGACGTCTCCCTCGTCGAGAAGATCGAGAACTCCAACAGCCTGCTCCCGAACGCCGTGCACATCTCTACCAAGAGCAAGACGACGTTCCTCTTCGCCCAGCTGGCCGACCGAGACTTCCTGGTGGAGAGGATATCGGATTTCCTCTCGCAGACCGTCCACCGACAGTACAGCTCAGATAGCGTCAGCATCAACAGTAGCGGGAGCGGCGGGTCGGGAGCACGTTTGTCTGTGAGTTACAGCGACGGCAATGGCGGCGACAAGGAGTCTGCCACAGGTTCTGACAGGATCAGTGTCAGCCTTGGGAGCTCTCTCGGAGCGGAGAAGACAAGCATGAGCAGCTCACCTGCCGCCAACCAGCCTCTCACGATGGTGTTCTGCAGGAGGAACTCGAACGAAATCCCGCCCAAGGAGAAGATCAAGGAACACCTGTGGGAGATCCACTTCGCCGAGTACGGGAGGGGGGTGTCCATGTATCGCACGATCAAGACGCATGAGCTGGTGTTGCAAGGCATCCCGGATAGCCTGAGGGGGGAGCTGTGGCTGCTGTTTTCCGGCGCCATCAACGAGCTGCAGACACACCCGGGCTACTACCAGTCCCTCGTCGAGCAGAGTTTGGGGAAGTACACTATCGCCACGGACGAGATCGAGCGGGACTTGCACCGCTCGCTCCCCGAGCACCCGGCGTTCCAGTCCGACATCGGGATCGCGGCGCTGCGGCGCGTGCTCACGGCTTACGCCTTCCGTAACCCCAACATCGGCTACTGCCAGGCCATGAACATCGTCACCTCGGTCCTCCTGCTCTACGCCTCGGAAGAAGAGGCCTTCTGGCTGCTCGTGGCCCTCTGCGAGAGGCTCCTACCTGACTACTACAACACGAAGGTTGTCGGAGCGTTAGTGGACCAGGGCGTTTTCGAGGACTTAACACAAGAGTACCTCCCACAGCTGTACGACCGGTTAGACGAGCTGGGTGTGATCAGCATGATCTCACTCTCCTGGTTCCTCACCCTGTTCCTCAGCGTCATGCCTTTTAACAGCGCGGTCAGCATCATGGACGTGTTTTTCTTCGACGGCGCTCGAGTCATCTTCCAGCTGGCTCTCACCATCCTAGACAACAACACCACAAGCCTGCTAGACTGCAGGGATGACGGAGAGGCCATGCAGGCGCTGGGGGAATATCTCGACAACGTGACCAACCGGGACTCGACGTTCCCTTCCATCTCGAGCAGCAATTTCGCCTCAAAGTCGCACGAGTCATCCGTTGACGTGGGCGACCTCATCAAGGAGTCGTACCAGAAGTACTACTGGATCGCTTCGGACACCATCGACAAGATGCGCTTCAAGCACCGCCTGAAGGTGATCCAGGGACTGGAGGACAGCAACAAGAGGAACATCGTGCGCAGCGTCAGCTCGGACGTACCCTTCTCGAACGAAGAGATGGAGGAGCTCTACGACATCTTTAAAGAGGAGTACCTCAGCGCGTGTTACTGGGGGGCGGGCGTGTACAGCGATCCGTGGGAGAAACTCGACCCGTCGATCCCGTTCTACATGCAGCTGAAGGTGAACTTCGAGCAGTTCAAGACGCTATTCCTGGCGCTGTCCCCGTGGGGTGTCGGCATGCACGCGGACGCCATGGCCCTGCGCGCCTTCCGCGTCATGGACGTCAACTCGGACGGGATGGTCAACTTCAAGGAGTTCGCCTGGTGCCTGTACATGATGTGTAAGGCGGAGCTTCCGGACAGGCTGAAGCTGATCTATCGTCTCCACATTCCGCCTGCGCTGCTACCGACCGACCACCAGGACCAGGAGGAGGAGGAAGAACAGGAGAGAGATCCGGACTTCATCTCTCCGGAGGCGGAACCCGCGCTGGAAGCAACATCGTACTTCGAGGAAGACCTGTCGCCTCTGCACCTCCCAGGGAACCTTCCCAGACACGTGCAAGTCGTAGAGAGCTTGTCATCAACCCCCGCAAGCGAGGACACCCCTCCACGCAACTCTACGCCGGATCTGGAGAAGGATAACGGAGCATCGAGTGACTCCCAGTTTGAGGAAATCAGCATGCCAGATTCTACGGAGAACCAGGACAGCTCGTCAGACAAAGAAGGATCCCAGGAGATCGTGTCCGAATCCAAAACCATACCAAAAACTGAACAGCAGGCTAAGACAGATCCACCTAAACAAGCGCAGCCAAGTAAAACCACTGATGATAGCAGCACAGATGAGAACGCATCATCCGAAAAGCTCCACACGGCGCTCAAGACGAAAACTGCAGACTACAGGCTGAGCTTTGTGGAGGACGACGAGGACTATGACTTCTGCACGGAACTGGAGGACACCAAACCAAAAACACGGGACGACGATAAGAAAGCTGTTCAGCACCAAGGAGAGGTCACGGCAGAAAATGCTGTCCAGGACAGCACTGCTAGAAGAACAGAAGGTGCTGCCCAGGACAGCAAAGACGGCACAGCAGAGGGAAGTGATGTGCCGGTGGACAGCAGTGACAGCACATCGTGGGAGTTGGAGGGCGACGTCAATGTCAAATCACTTGAGGACAGCATGCAACAGGTATGTAAAAAGTCAACTGTAAAACTGTCAAAATTGGCTACCATGCATGCTTTTGTCATTACCTGACTGGTCAGACCCCTATAAAGAAGCTTCATAGCCAACATTGTGTAACACAGGGAGCAATATGCCTAAAAACAGTTACTCAAGCAGCTGGATATGATGACACTGACACTGACGAAAGGTAGTGGATGCTTCCTGAAACATCTGACCGTTTCCAAAATCATATCCAGTTGCTTGAATAACTGTTTTTGGCATATCTTATTACCTAGATCTCTTCACCAACAGGCTACAATACATTTACCAGATTTTTTTTCTTTCCTGTGTATACATTGTGTTGACTCTTACAGTACTTTTCCAATATATAACGTACACTTCAGCAAATCTGTCCCTCTAAATAACCTTTTTTATATCTACTTTTGTAATAATCTAGGTTTCCATAGCAACAGAAGAACCAGCACCAATCCCAGCATCCTCCTCTGCTGACCCGCAGCCTGAGTCTGGGTTACCTGAGGTCGTTGCCCCCCAGTGTTCCGGTGTTGCCATGGAGAAGGAGGAGGATGTGTTTGGGGAGGACGGGTCGACTGTGCTGATGCAGCCTGCTGAGGAGGGGCAGGCAAGCACACACAGTACTCCTGTCAGGAAAGGTATGTTAATGTTCATTCTGCAAAATAGACCAAATGCTTAATGAATTCTTAGAGAAAAGTTGTAATGCTGTGGACAAACTGAATACTATTAACTACTGTAGTATTTGCTGTGTATTTTACTAAGAAGAAACATATAGTATATGGTAAGGAATACTGCCTTGATCTCAGTTTGAAGAACTTTCCAAAATTTTTAACAATTTCTACACAAACAAAAAAGCTTTTATTGTCTACGTAGTTCAGTACTACCAATATTGTAGTATTTGCCTTTTATTATACTAGGAAAAAACACATTGCTGTATGGTAAGGAATACTGGCTTGCAGCTTATTGTGATTTGAACTTTCAGTTTCAAAGACACCACTTTGACACAATGCTCATTCATTGACTCATTGTTGAGTTACATGCATGCATGTTGGAGCTGCATTAGATGTTTTATGAATATAGCCCCAGGTAAGCAGCTGAGCTCCGGAGGAGAGAGCGACATCCACCGTTTCCTGAGGAAGTACAGACGGGAGAAGGAAGCTCTCAACATCGGCGTCAAGGACATTCCCAGAATGGACCAGGTAAAATTTCTCTTATTACTTGCTACAAAAATATTGTTTTGGGTGGCTGAGCTGTGGGTTTGTTTGTGTCCATTTGTTCGGATAGAGTAGGTTGACAGTACATGGGTGGTGAGTAGAGTGACAGAAGGTCAGACACAGGCAACAGATTGAACTCGTGTAGCCTAATGATAGAGAAATTTACAATGTAGAAGTCTTAGCCTCCACCGGGCCTTCCTACTGGGGTACAGATCATTCATAGAATTCAATAAAAAAAGAAGAATTGGACAAGGGAGTCCACAGGAAGTTTAAAGCCCCCTTGAAAGGGCAAATGAACTATACGGTCGCTTAACTCCTCTGGCTACATTTAGCTGTTTTTGTACTCGCATTGTTAGTACTATGGTGAAGACTATAGATGTTCAATTTTCCTGCCCCTCCCAGCCCCAGTTCATCCAGCTGTGGAAGACATTCTACGACATTTTCCGTGAGGATGAACACGAGCAGGAGTTGTACCACGCCATCGCGACTGTCGGGAAGCTGCTGCTGGAGCTCGGGGAAGTCGGGAGGTACTTCACGGGGAGCGAGAACAACTCTCCGCTAAACTCTCCAACTGCCGCAGCCAAAGCAGGTTTGTGATCTTATTCGCTGAGGCTTTTACTAATTTCCCCTGGGTAGCTGCACTTGGGATCTGCCTGATTTGCAAACCATTATGCCAGAAACAAGGGCTTGAAATAGTCTGTGCTTGGAATATCAGTCGGAAAATATTGTTGAAATAGCAAATGGTATGTAGAAGATGGAATGTGCACTTTGAACAATGTAAAAGGTGTTTTTGTGTTGAAAAAGCCATATTGCTAGACTTACTACTTATTCTATGATTCTGTGATTGTGTCTACAGTTGAAGAATCCATTCCAACAAAAGAGGTGACTACAGCAGAGCCTCCTAGCAGCAAGCCCGGTACTGCAGACAGCGCGCCTGGGCAAGTCGACGCATCGGACAACAAGGCTACAGAAGATGGCGCACAGAAAAGCAGGGGGACAGAGGACACCCCCGCCAAGACAGAGGCAGTGGAAGAGTCCACCCGTAACCAGGCAACAGACAAGACGTCCCCCGATAGTGCAATAGCGATGGTTAGCGAGGAAAGCGTCTCCTCGGGTCTCTCCGGCCTGAGCGCAACAAGCACCCAGGTCTCCGACATCTCCCACGATTCCATAGGGCAGGGGCCAGAGGTCAAACAGAAGGTCAGAGGTCATCAGCTGACCCCACAGGGGTCAAAGGAGTTGCCGACCTCCCCGTGCGGCGATTGGTCGATCACGTTTGAACAGTTTCTGGCCTCGATGCTCACGGAGTCGGAGCTAGTGAGGTATTTTGAGACGCCGGTGGACGTTTTTGCGGTTGTCGATAGATACAGGAAGAGGAAAATGATAGAGAGGCAGTTCAGTACTTCCAGTTTTTCAAGTCAGAGCGGGTCACAAACGTTGTAGGTTATAGTAGGATTTAAAAAAAGACAGAATTTTCTTAGAAGGGATAGACTCTGTATTGGTGTGCTGCAAGCTTCTACCATAGACTGAAAGGGAGGACAACATAGCAAAAACAAAACATCATTCAGCTTATTTTGTTCTCTAAAGTGGTCAAAGAAGCAAAGCAATTCTAGGCAATTTTCTACACCATTGCAAAAAATGCAACACTATGTAGAGAACCTAGAGAGTTGCTGGAATGTTTCAAGGCCAAGAAAAGAGTCTGAACAGAACCAACTCATCTATACATAGTCACATATACATCTACCATAGCAGACCAGACTTGTGTGACATAGGACAGCTTCAGTGGACCATCAGGGTATAGTGCAAGATAGCTCAGATAGTAGAGCAGTCTTGCATTGTGAGCCAGGGTCCTAGGTTTGAGTCCTGGTCCTGTACCATATTCCATAGTTGTGTTTTTTCCACTTTCGGTAGCTCACAACTTTTCACTTTATGATAATTCCCTTGTGAGCTCATCTATACTGTAAGTAAGTCTTTCTGGCCAATGGGGAGAGGTCAGGGCAAAGAGGTTTAAAATCAAAAGGCTCTTGTATTTAACCTTCTTGGTCAGGGTCAGACCATAGTTTGGTGCTTTGGATTTCCGTGAGGTCCTAGAATTAGAAGTGGACTACTTAAATATTGCTGCACTCCATGATGTAAATTCTGTAGTACTTTTTTGAGAAAAGTGCTGGACTTTTGTTTGGGAAATTTTCCAGAAAGTCGTGGGAGCAAAAATCTACAAATAAGGGACATTCCAGACTTTAAAAAAAAGGGGAAAAGTCATGTTTTAAAGACTTGGGTTTTGACTATAGAATCTTAGAAAAGAATGAGAGCATTTTATGATTGGTGCAAAAAGGATAGTATTACCGGATATTATACAAGCTACATGAGTAATACAATAATTATATCAAAAGGGATATTTAGACTTAGTTGAAACAATTTTGTCATAATTTTGGGAAAACTGGATAATTCCAATGGGCCACAAACTCACAGTAGCAAATATTCTGCAATTAGCTCTTTGTAAAGTAAATCTTTGTCAGCTTTTTTTATCCCGCAAAACTTCTCTTTAACTGAAAGCGCCAAGCCGGTACCATGGTATGCCATAGAATCTGTAAAAACATTACTTATAAGCAGTTGCAATACAGGCAAATCAATTTATCATACAGAATATGAATAAAGAAATGTAAAATTACAGAATAGAAGAATGTTGCAGCAAATATAAATGGGCTTGTAATTTGAAGTGGACTACGTTAAGTAAAAAATGTACTGTAATGTACTGTAATTCCTGATTTGTTCACTGTACTGATAAGTTCACTGTTTTCACTATTGCTTCTGTACAGTGAACTTATCATTACAGTTAACATATAATTCCTGTACTTTCTTTTTCCTGCACCTGTCACCACCGTGAACATATAGTTGCGTGAACATGTCCATTTTTCTCAGACCGTGAAATTTTGCTACCGTGAACATAAAGTGAATTACAGTATTAAGTTTGGGAGAGGGAATTTGAAATGTGTTTACGGTAACATATGACAAGAAAAGATTTAAACTTTTGCAAGCTTAAACCACAACAGCTTATATAATACTCAGTATGAATCCATGCAAGTATGAGTTCATGAGAAAGCCAAAAGCTATAGTGCAAGCAAACTCAAGCATTGCATTTACTTTTAAACACATACATAATATACACATGTATCTTATTCATTATTACTTATGCGTATAAAAGTATTGTTTTGGGCGGCTAAGTTTAATCTCCAAGCAGATCCTACGGTGGCAAGACAGTGTCCAGATGATTCTTTAAAGTTATGGGTGTATGGAAAAAGGGGAATGCATCAAAGAAAAAGAAGAACTAGCTTTGTGCTACATACAGTCAAATCTGTACAAGTGGCCACCTCTACATAATGACCACCTGGTCAATGAAACCCTTTTTTCGTGGACCACCTAGAGCAGATTTTATGAATCCCCAGAGTGGTCTTCTTGCGCAGTGTGGACCACCTACACCAGATTTTATAAGTCCCCAGAGTAGTCTTCTTGGGCAGTGTTGGCTGTAGATATAAAGTTAATTTCTATACAATACGCCAAAAAGCAGTTACTCAAGCAACTGGATAAAATATGATTTTGGAAACATATCCAGTTGCTTGAGTAACTGCTTTAAGGCATATCGTATTACCTGGGTGTCTAACCTTCATTGACGTAATTTCTATACAGTGTCTACTTTTTTTTGTAGGTCAGATTTATTAATTACAAAAATCATTATCTTAAGATGTATTCTGAGTCAACACATAAACTTAAGGCATTTCTCTGTAAGTGTTAGCCGTGTGTGTGCCTGTGTACAGGCCCTTGTAAATAGCCAACAGTCCTCTGTATCAGAGACTAATGCTACATTATAACAGTCAGTTACACGTGTTGCTTCCAAGTGCAGTGCATTTGTAAGATTGAACTACTGTAAATGCATTTACTTTCGTGATAGGAGGAAAAGGGAGGTTTTGGTAGTGTTTTAAGTTCCGGGTTGGAACAATTTTGTAGTACAGTAGAGATACAAAACACATAATATTCACTGTGTCATGATTCCACATAAAGAGAAAATTGCAATGCAAAAATCTCAAAAAGAAAACCACTGCGAAACTTGTCACAATTTGCAGTACCAGGGTCACGTAAGGACATCATTAGAGAGAAGGTCTCATTGATTCTCCATTAATCTGAAACCAAGGCCAAATAAAATTAGTTTATAATGTGACAAGCACAGCTAAATATCATCAATATCCATCAAAACAGCATCAGTTGTAGTTCATACCATCTCTACCAAGGCCATGTATATTGCCATAAGGACTAATTTGTTAAATGACTACTGCATAGCATTTTGATTTCTTTGCTTGACGTTATCTAAGTCAGTTGTCCGAAACATTACATGCTGCAATTTTTCAGTACATATGTTATGCTATATTGAATTGTTATACAAGGGCAAATTTCCTCAGTGCTGAATTTTATCTTTCACCATACATGTATAATTTATACACAGCAAGTACAGAGACATCCAGACACTTAGACTTTCAAACATGTAAATGCTACTGGTATGGCTACAGTATGTACTAGAGTATGCATGTATGCTGGAATATGTATGTATGCATGTATGCTGGAATATTATGATAGCAATATAGTAATATTATGGCAATGTCATGATATTGCTAGGCATGTATATTAATCAAGCTCTTACTTCTGCATTTTACCACATTTTACCATGTTATGTTACACATACATGTATTAGTGAGGTTACAATATACAAATAGTCATTTGCAGGTATTCTTGTATCTTCTTTTGTCGTCCTCAACTTACGTAATGCATGACGCTTTTCAAGTAGCTACAAGTGCCATTTGGCTTTGCTTAAGTGTGTTGGGTTCTATCATGAAAGTCCATCTGTGTTGGTAGTTACTTGTACATGTTTAGAGTTAAAACATTAGATCCAACACAAAAAGACCTTCTACCAGATCATCTACCAGATATCTTTGACCCAGTGTTGACAGTGTCACACTTCAAAGAAGCCATGTGACAAGCTTCACTGGGTCAGTCTACTGAGGAAGACCAGAGTGACTGGTTGAAAGCTCTAGGTGAGAGAACTTTTTGTGTTGGATCGAAAGTTTTAACATGTGTTGGGTTCTTTTATATGTGGAGAGATTTGATGCCATAACCTCCTTTGCTTGCAGATATTCCCCACCATGAATATAAAATATACTAGTAGATGATTTTATTGTATGTGACTTTGTTATGAAGATTGTAATCACATGTTACAGATAATAAATTCAGACATGTTACCATTGATATAGTATGACATTTTTGGTGGTTTGCAAAGATTATGTCTTAAATGTTGGTTGGGGGGCACTCTTCGGCATCTGTTGAAGTAGGAAGTTTTTTCTTTGAATTACTTCTTCTCTTTTTTTACTAGTATACTCTGCCCCTACTTAATCTGTGGTGGACATATTTGTTGCTTAACGTTCGCTGTGCTTTCCATGATTCTCAAAAGCTGCTTTAATAATGACAATGGTGTCTTTTCTAGCAAAAAGTGAAAATGCAGACTTTATATCATAGAACATTGACATTTATTTGAAAACGATAACTGAGAAGAGCCAACTTGTTGTACAATTGTAAACAGCTATATGGTACTTTGCATTGGTGTAGTTACAACCAGAACATTTTGTGCAATCTTTACTACAAAAATATTGTTATTATCCAGACTTCAAATCTGCTTGTAACTATGGTGGAAATACAATAAATAGTAATAAGAAGAAGCTGGTGTGTTTTTTATTAGATGTTTTAATGCATATAAAGTATGTAGGGCGCAATTTGGACTAACCAGGCATGTGAGCCCCTTTCCCAGTAAAACTTGAAAGAATGTTCAAGAACTTGAAGATTGTATAACTTACAACATTAATACAACGCAACTTGTCATAAAAAAAACATAGATTGTATAACTTACAACATAATACAAATGCAACTAAATGTGTCTTAAACACAACATAATACAACAACGCAACTTGTCATAAAAAACCATAGCATAGATCCTTTTACTATGTACAAAATATTTACAGTCTCATAAACAAACCTATTTTTACATGTCACAAATCTTTGAACAAACTTCAAACAAAAGCAGACCGGCTATACTTAGTCCTAAAAATGGTAGATACTACCACAAGATTGTCCGTAACTTTTTCTAGTATGATGACGGGATGGGATGGTATTTCTCCGGCATTACCACTGTTCTGTTGTACTCCCGGATGTCGTCTGTGCCCACATGGTCTGTGTAGTACCAGTGTACTGTTGTTGTCGCTCCTGGATTCATGAAAGACATGCTTGGCAGATACTGGAGTGGCGCTTCCACGTACCCCGGTGTGCCCTGCTCAACTGGAGACTTCACGCTGCAGTCCTGCTCACTCTTGCTAGGTGGCGTCGCTGTACTGCACTTGGAGTTGTTGTTGTTGCTGTCTGGTGACCTGGGGTGGTGGAGTGGGGATGTGGCAGCTGTGGATGGGTTTGCTGTTGTAGACAGGTCCAAAGGGCAGCTTGGGACGGGCTTCATGGTCTGGCGTTTCCGGTTGCTCATGGGCTCCTTGGCTGCCATGACCTCAGTGATAACCTGGAAGAACATATTTCGATTAGCTTTGTCATTAAATGCATAACCGAAGTAACCAACTCAATACGGTCACTACTACTGTGTAATAAGAACATCTTTACGTTATAACCACCTTTTGGAAATTGCAAAATTGGATTTTTACCATTTGAAATTAAGTGCTTATAGTGACTGTCAGTAGCAGTCCATAGACCAGATTTTATTAGCCACCTCTTGTAGCCTCTACCAGGCTTCAGAGGCGGCTGGAAAGAGTAGAAATTAGCCAAATAGAGAGATGACATGCCAGAGGAGTTGGTCCGTCAGAGAGTACTCAGTTTCCAGCCACCTCCTGAAGCCTGGTAGGGGCTATAATTTGTATAAACACCTCTTCAGCAATTTTGACACAGTGACTGCACTTGCTTCCAACATCCAGGGTGATGTGGAAATGCCAATAAAAATTATATCTATAAGATAGCGCTCTTACACATAAAATATGATTATGTCAGAATGGTAACCCACCTTCTGCATGTAGTCATCAGCGATGAGCTGTGGACCCTGCGTCCGGTGAGGCATGCTGGCCAGCGCAGCGCCAACTCTTCTGTCTCGGCTACGGCGGTTCTGGAACCACGTCTGATCAGGGGAAATGAAAACAACAATTGATAAATAAGCTGAACAACAGATCTCGCAGATTCCATAGTTCCATCCTGTCAACTTTTAGGTCAAGTTTCTTCTACTTGTAAATTGTAATACTAATAGAGATACTGTTGAAACTTGAATGATAACAAAAAATACATTAATGTCTCGGCTAGTTATCTATGTTGTGTATTGTATCACCTACTAGTAATAAACGCAAGAAAATAGTAGGAAAGTATTAGACAAAGACATTACTGTTGGACTAAGCTAATAAAGTGTCTCTTGCCTCTGATGGAAATCTCTGAAACAACGCCTCCTAGCAAATATGACATGAATTGCACTGTGGCGTTCAGAGCTAACAGAAACTGTTTCTCACCTGAACTTGCTTGGAGCCGACTCCCACGTAAGTCGCGATGACGTTCTTCTGCGCGGAGTCCGGCATCTTGGTGGCCTGATAAACGCCCTCTAGCAGCTGTACCTGGTGAGGCATGTAGGCGTTCTTCCTGTTCCTGCCCACCTGTGGCATACATAGTAACAGTGTAAATGAATGAATGAAAACCTTTATTGCATGATTGTACACACATGCCCAAATTAATTATAGGTCACAATAAAAGAATGGAATACAGATAACATTACATACGTTTGCACACATCGTTAAGTACACATAGCTACTACTAGTATTAAGTAAATTCTTAAGTTTCTTCTCGTCTTAGTAATGGGAAAAAGGTAAGAAAAGACTCTGAGCTAAATTGTAACACAAGCACAAACATGCCTGCCTCTAGCATCAGATCAATATCCTGACCGTGAGGATTCTTTTTATAAGGTATTTATGATTTATATCCTTGAATCTTTGACACTGACGACTGCATAGTGATCAATGAGACATTTTGAGTAATATTTATTTGTGCTCCTGTTACTAGTACTAGTATGCCATTGGAAATAAAAACTTAAATCTGAATCTCATTCTGACCTGCTGGGGTTTCTTCCTCTGGGGAACCGGAGGCTGCAGTACCGACGGCGGGAGATAGGCGTCCTCGTGGTAACCGGACTGTGCGTGGTACACGTTCCAGTCGTCTAGAATCAAACATAACAACAGGTTAGAGCGTATTCAGATTATGATAATTCCTCTACAAACCAAATTATACAACTTCAATGTCAAATTGTATACAAATAACATGTTAATTGCAATTTGCATGCACTTTTTCGTTTCGCCGCCAGGTGTCGCTGCTACCACGTAACAAGGCTTTAGAATACCGGCGGCACTTCTAAGAATAAGCTGAGCAGCTGACCTCAGTCGGGGTCCGACATCTTAATCATGAAAGTCATAATTACTGACAGCTTAGGCTAGGTACTACCCAAGTCTTTTTCCAACTCTTTGCTATGTTATAACTGAAGCAAATACAATTGCTGAACTGAAATAATAGATAAAATTGCTTATCGCAAAACAACTAGTTCTTTCCCTGTTGCGACTTTTATATCACATGGGAAACATGAGATTACATTTTGTCACATCGGCGTTCTATTTGCAGAAATCATTTTTCGTGGACGTGCTAATTTCTGGCCGGACATGTTATGCCATATGCGGCTGACAAGCAACTCAAATCAAATTTTTATCTCACAGAATATTTTCAAATCTCAGGACTTTTCTATCATGACTTTACTGAAGCCATAATTTCAACGAATACCTATAATCGTATAGTAATAGTAAATTGGTTCAAATGTAGTAGTTCAAATAAGGAAAATCGTTATATCCATGCAGATCTTTTCGTGGTTGCACTGACAGTATGAAATTTGGCATGGCAAGACAGTCTCCTTGAAATCATACGCGAAAAATAAGATACCAGTACAAAAAAGAAAACCCCATAGAAACACATTTGAAAACATGTGAAAAGATAAGCTGAGCGCTGAAGCCTAAACCTCTGCTTGGAGAGTAGGAAATCGGACAGTAAAGTAAAAAAAGAAATAACGACTTACTCATGATCTCTTGCGGCTCCTGTTTGAAAGTGTTGATCATCTCTGGTGGTCTGGCCGTGCACAGCATCTTCAGTCTCTCAAAATCCGTAAAATCCCGAATAAAAACTTCCCAAGGCGACACAGAAAAACCTTCCTCAACTTACTATACAGTCGATCTAAGCAAGGAAAGTTTTCAGTCCAAACACTTGAAAGCGCGTGTTTGACAAGAGAAAGTTTCAGTTGTGAGAGCGGCTGAAAAGCAAACGATCTTATCTGGAGAGAGACCGAGCTCGAAGTGGCATGTACAACCGTCACTATCAGACTGACTGGTCTTCTGTTTGCCCTGACAGCTTATATCCCCACCCCTGTCACCCACGTCACCGCATAGGCCATTGTCATGTGCTAGCCGCGGCCGCCTTTGCTATTCATAAGTCGGCGGCATCGGGAAGGGACCCGCGGCCTGGGAAAGTTGTAGCCTCATAATTTCTGAAAGCCGGTCATCATCATGACAATGGCGGTGGGGCTTTGATAGTGCGCTTGGCGTTGTCGCCCCCTGTAGCGACGCGCGCGTGTACTTACTACTAACCGCCGCCGCCGGCTTGGGTCTCCGTGTAAAGGTGTTTATACAAACCAATCCGAGTTTGAAAAGACGCGGCGAAATGAAAACTGTTGTGGAGGCGTAACAAAGAAAACTTCCCGTTGTCTGGGAGGAAGTGTTTGAAGAATTCGAAGGGAAAAAGTGCCGACGCTAGGGCTTGGGTACACTCCAAGCAGAGGTTTGGGTTGTACTAAAATTAGCCTCCACCAGGCCTTTCTACGGATCGTAGAATTCGGGAGAGAAAAAAATTGGCCAAGGGAGTCCGGCCGCGGGGAGGTTGTTTCTTTCCCTCCGTCCAGTCAAACCTACAAGGCGGCCAAAATCCCCTGGCAAATATTCTCCTATATATAGCCAGCGTAGTTAGTCTGGTAGAGACTAGGCTTGGGTACTCTCCAATCAGAGGTTTGGATTTTGGCTTATTTTGGGCGTGTTTTTAGGCTTTTTAATCGGGCTTCTGTTGTTTTTTTTTGCACTGGAATACATATATATATTTTTTTATTTAATTACGGGCTTGCGTGAAAAAAGATTCCAGAGCAAAAAAGAAACCCCGACTAGGCGTGTGACCGGAGCGTTTTCGTCGAGATTTGTTTCTTTTTGTCTACTTTTGCATGGCCTCTGTGTGTTTTACATCGTTCTATCGTTATTTTAGGGACGCGTGATTGCCGTGGGAAGGGTGACTTGTTTTGTCTTGCCTGTATCGTGTTTAGTTTTCACCAGACTATCATTAAACAAGGTGGGCTGAAAAATTATTAATATAATCCAGCAAAATCGTTTAGCCATGAGTTCACTTGGCCAGTACTAGTTTCAATTACTCTCCAAGCAGAGGTTGTGGGGAATGATCGTTAGCTTTTTATATGTGGCCGTTTTTTTTGTCCTGTTCCCGTCGGTGGCTAATGGAGCTTCTCTGGCTAATGGATACTGTCTGGCCAATTTGCTACTGTCTTTTTGCCACCGAGAGGGATCTGCTTGGAGATTAAGTTTCAATAGGAAATAACTACCTTACCACGGCTCAATCCACTGGCCAAGTTTTAACCTTTTATTGTCGAATTCTACTATTCAAAACACTCGCGTCAGGGCGCATTCGTCGCATGATTTTTATTTAGCCCAGTGGGGCAAAATTTTAAAATGTACAATAAATGTCTTCATTCCGAAGTTCATTATGATTTGGGGCCAATTTGATGGTGTAGCAGACAGAATCAAACGCTAAGACTACCTTTTGTATTACACGTCAGTCTGTACGACAAGTGTACAACAATTATCCTTCCATCGTACGACAAATATGCCCGCGCCTTTATGACCTTTATGTATACTGAGCCCGTGGAGTTTCTGAAGGAAGTTGTACATCATACTACACCTGCATGTTTAACCAGTTTTGTCAGATCCCTCATCCACACACCCCCTTCTTTCATCTCTAAACAGCAACAAGACGTTAAGAAGATTATAACTTCCCACTCCGCAATCTCGCCCCCGCAAATTTGCATAATCTTGTTGTGGCGGTTATCACTACACCATCACAGATGTACCAGCACAGTGCCGCTGGGAAGACCTAGCCAACCACTACTCAAGAAAACATTTCTTCAGAAAATGTGTGAAATAACGTTTCGGGGGACATGGAATTCAGATATTACATCGAAAATTTTATCACCTTGACATATGTCGACAAAACAAAGGCAAGGGTCGGTTGAGTAGCCGGAAACACATTTTTCTACTAAATTCTAGACCCAAAAAGCTGCCAAGCTGCCAAACTTGTAAAGGCTGGATAAGTGGTCGCAATCCAAGAACATACTAGTACTAGTAATCAGGGGAAAGAAATCGAATTTGATTAGCTCCGGGGATTAGAGACTAGTGCCCTGCACTGCAGTAGCTAGGTCATAGCCTCTACCAGGCTTCTGGAGGCGGCTAGGAAGAGTACAAATTGGTCAAAAAGAGATCTAGAGATAATATGCCAGGGGAGTTGGTCCGCTATAGAGTGCAGTTTTCGAGTGTGGCAAATGTACTCTTTCAGCGGACGAACTCCGGCATGTTATTAGTACATTTGTATCTGTTTAGACCATTTGAACTCTTTCCAGCCGCCCCCGAAGCCTGGTAGAGGCTATGACCTACCACAGCTACTGTAGGGTACTAATCTCTAATCCCCGTAGCTAATTAAATTGGATTTCGTTCCCCTGATTATGTTATTGGATTGCGAGCACTTATCCACACCCTGTACTAGTTTGGCAGGCTTACAAGTTTGCCCTTTCATTGCTTATTAGATCTAACAAAAACTATACATTGTATTATAATGTCCTTGGGTTTAGGAAAAATGTGTTTCCGGCTACTCAACTGACCCTGTTTTTTTTGTCGACCTATGGCAAGGTCATAAAATCTGAATTCCAAATCCTTTGAAACGTTTTTTCACGCATTTGCCAAAGAAATCCACCCCACCCCCTCTTAGTAGAAGCACTTCTAGTTCTACTCCTTCCTTGAGTTTAATAGAAAATCAGATTTTCTAACTCCATGCTCGTTCCAATCGTCTTTCCGGCTAGACAGCGCGACAACAAAATATTAAACCCAAGACTACAATGATCACAATTTCATCGGCAGTTTGTATCTGTATGACTACCGGCATCAATTCATATAGGACATACATGTACTAGTAGTTTTGAGCCCTGTGTTTACATAAATGTAACATTATTTTTTCCGGGAGAAAAGAATTAAATGAAAATGAGAGTGTGGCTGATGTGTACAAATCCTGACTTTTAAAACTGTGTTTTGACTATAGTCGAATTTTTATAGAACACTTTGTCTGTCAACACTGCAAATATCACACCCCTACAACCTTATGTGATTGTGATGTACTAAGCGATTTGTTGTTTTTCATGCACAAACATTCGCTCCTTCCTCGACTCTGTTACGTTAGGAAAATACAACAACTTTCCCAAATAGTCGTGGGAATACGGCGGGAAAATTCCACAGTCGGCGTCCACGTACTGGTATCTGCTGTTTTTGCATTGGCATGTACGAGTTTTCTTTCTGCGGAGGCGGGGCATCAAAGCGGCCGCCCGGTCGCACCTGCGGCGAACGTTGATTGTCGTTGTTTTAACCATTGTTCGGGTTGTTGTCGCCTGCTAGGGACACGACGCTTCTGGGGACATCAGAAGGGCCGACAAGTCTGGCACCTGTCTTGTCGTGACGCGACTGTGGCCAGGCGCCAACATCAAACTTGGGGAGCGACAAACTAGTCTGTATCTGTATCGGTATAGCCGATATAACCGCCCTTCGGCGTAACACACCAGCTTCGCAGGCACGCGGCGCGGCGGCAGCTAGCTATATGACACCGAACTCCACCAGACTCCTTTGCAGGCTGAATAAAAAGTAGAAATCGGCCTAAAAAGGGGATTTAATTGGCCAGAGGAGTTGACCTTTTAGTTTTAGCGGACCAACTCCCTAGGCCCTCGGCATGCTATCTCTCTATTTGGCCGATTTCTACTCTTTCCAGCCGCCTCCCGAAGCCTGGTAGAGGCTGGCAGCAAACTGCATGTACTCCTTTATTTTGTCCGATGTAAACGGGGCCTAGGCGGACCAACTCCCCCGGCATGTTATCTGTCTACTTGGTCAATTTCTAGCCTCTATCAGGCTTTAGGAGGAGGCTGGGAAAGAATAGAAATTGGCCAAAAAGAGAGATAACATGCAGAGGGAGTTGGCAAAATGTACTCTCTAGTGGACCAATGTTATCTCTCTATTTGGCCCTTTCCAACCGCTTCACGAAGCCTGGTAGAGGCTACAAAATATAGGGAGAATGGTTGTCCAGGGGGGGGGGGCTCGTCACTGAATGACATCCAGTAAATTTCTAGCGGGGACCAATCAGGGGCTGCTGAATAAATTGAATAATTTATCAGGGCCCACGGACGCGGTTCTTTCACTTGTAAAGTAGACAATTACCACCGAGCCGGTGGCACACGATGGGCGAAAACATGTATTTCACACCCATTGTACGTCGACATAAAGCGCTTATACATTACAAACAGAACTTTCGTAGGACTGCCATTACTTTAGTTTGCAGCATGTGTATTGAGAACGAGTATCTTCATAATTCTGCTGGCTGTTTGTAGAAAAACGGCACAATAAAACAGTTTTCAATACCAACACGACTTAGCAGATAACACGTAATGAAGCCCACTTTTTACGCAGATTGTAGCACTACGTAATGTTACACAAACTAACAGTAGATGTTTTAAGGAATTCACAGAAATGACAATGATAGATAATGTAACGCATACTAGTATACATTATACAGCACAAAATAAAGAGTAACAGTAATGTAGTCGTCTTTGGTCGGGTATGGCAAGTTATAGTACGTACATGTATCGGTTCAATCTTTAACGGGTAAGTTGACAGCAACAAGCAAGATGCATAGGTTCTATTACTTTTGTAGCTCACTACTTGCGTCTAGATTTGGGACGAACCCATGTTACTTCTCGCCGCAGTTTTTCATGTAGTGGTTACTTCGACAGCCTTTCCGCTGACGCAAACATACTAGTTTGAGGTTCCACAGTTCTTACAACGTTAGCGCTTGAAGTGGTGTTTTCCAAGTTTGTTGGTCTGGTGATGTTGTCTTTGTTGGCTTGTTGTCTGTCATTTCCCTCCATTTTTATGTTTGGCGGCCCGTCTTCGATGGGTTGGGTTTGCTTCACCAAGGACATTATTGGGTTCACAAATGTCGGCTTCGCTAAGATCCGTTTCTTCCCGTACGTAGTGGTCGCTCCATTAGCGCTAGTGCAGCCACATTTGAATGTGTAAAACTTAATGCCTACAGTCCCGTTTTGATTCGTTCATCAAAGTAGATTTTACTAAGGTATGACTTTACTAACTGATTGTGGAAGTACTAGTACTTAGTACTGATGTAAACAAGAAACAATATACGCGCTCTGGTTGAGTTCATGGCATTTGAAACAAGGTGCTAATAGCCGCTAGTCTGTGACGCGTCAGCAGCCCTCTGATTGGTCCCCGCTAGAAATCTACTGGATGTCATATAGTGTACGACGGGGGGGGGGGGGGTGGCCTTTGTAGAGTTTACATTGAATCCACAATGGATGACGAGATCACTTTCACATGGGCTAAAGTTCATACACAAACACCTTTATTTTCAAAAGTTTGTCTGAAATCTCTGATTTTTATAGATAGTCCCTCGGCTTCCTGTCCCGGCCAGTCATTTCCTATGTCTGACCTTTTTGCTATGTCATTCTGCCTGTCAATCCACCCACATGCTGTCAACCTACTTTGTCTGCACAAACGTACACACTGCGGCACAGCCCAGCCACAGTAAACAATACTTCAGAACCCGGAAGTAAGAAAAAAATAACGTTGAGCGTTATATTCGTGTATTGTAGATATATGCATAAATAATGACGGAATTTCGTTTAGAAAAACAATATATTACATCTGTATGATCATGTCCTTGATTACTAGTACATGATGATACACATTTACTAGTATTATGTTCCAAAGGTGTCATTTTGCAATTGTGTATTAATAAAATTTCACTTCGACCGCTAGACTGTCTTTTTTCTGTCGCCATAGCATTGAAAAAGTCATCAAAAACCTTTTTTTAGGCAGCAAAAAATGCAATTGGCTTGACAGTGAACAAGTATTGAAATTCCAGTCGCCAAATTAGCGCCCCGCGACACAACCAGCCGCCATAGCTCAGTTGGTTAGAGCGCTGGTCTAGTAAACCAGAGGTCATGAGTTCAAATCTCATTGGTGGCTACCTTTTTCCTTTTCTTTCTTCCTGTTGTTTTTACTTCATAATCTTTCTTCATCTTTTTATCCTCTTTTATACAATCATTTCTCATTATTTTAGCAATTTCTTATGTTGTGAAATAAAATTTGGTTTTATTTTAATTTTCTTTTCGTAAACGACTAACAAGAATGAAGGGAGTGGATGGGGTACATAACTAAAGCGTTAGCAAATAGCGAGGTTAGTTATATTTTCTGGTGAAAAAAATGAAAAAAATTCTAAAAGGCATTACACTACTCCAAGCGGTTGGAATCACAATTTTATTCAAAGATAGCATTGTAAAAAGAGCATAAAAAGATATTTAGCAAAAGTAGCCTCCAGAGAGATTTGAACTCTCGACCTCTGGTTTACTAGACCAGCGCTCTAACCAACTGAGCTATGAAGGCTCATGACAACGGCGCCTTGTTAACAGTTTTCATACTCTCTTTCGGCGTACACAGGCGTAATACATGTTGGCAAACTAAGCGTATATATAGATAATCTGTTTCTGTTTTATAGTGATTTCTTCAAAGTTGCAATAATTAGGTAATATTTTCGTGCCGCGATGTACCAGAATGGTTCCGTGTCAACCATTAGTGGTTGCACTTTTTACAAATGTCGCATGAGGTCGCATGGTGACGCTAGGACCACTCAAGAGCGACCTCTAGCGGACCAAAATTAAGCCAGTTTTGTGGATTCAACTCAATGTCTTGGGCAGTATATACTTAAGTAACAATTTTATGTGATAGATAAAAAAAATGGTTAGTCGTTTCAGTTATATTTGCACATATATTCTACAGTGAATGGATTAAAAAAAATAATATCTCATCAACTTTGAAGTAAACTACTAAAAGTGTGACATCAAAGTGCAAATGGTGAAGTGATAGATGGAAAATTGAGTAAATGAATTTCAGTTCAATCGGTGAAAAAATGTCGTGGAAAACTGTTAAACCTTCTTGCTACCAGTTTTCCTTTTTATCTTGTACGCGTTTGCACAAAAAATTGTCATATTGTTGGCAAATGTTCAGACTGTAGTTTTCCGCAATGATACAAAATCCTCAAAATGTTCTATAGTTGGCGCAGGCGCACAACGCACCTGCAGCAAAGATGGCGGACCGGGGGTGAGTAGTGAGAAGTCGTCGCCGAATTTCCCGCAAACAAAGGAGTTTTTCACCCGGATTCGGACACTTTTACACCGCAAGACGACATGGAGGAGATCGACCAAAACATCGACCCCGAACTGGAGGTCAAAAAGCTCCAGGACCTGGTGAAAAAGTTGGAGAAACAGAACGAACAGTTGAGGAACGCCCGGCGGTCTGGGCAGTCCATAACGGACTCGCCAACCAAGCAGAGAAAGATGATTCCAACTCAGCAAAATAAGAACAGAGACCCGCAGGAACTCAACAAAAAACTCGCCAACATGTCCCTGGACGAGGTCGATATTATCAAGATCTTGAGCGACGACGAAGACGACGAAGAAAAGGAAGATAGCTGGTGAGTTTTGGCGTTCTAGAATAATTCTTCTTATTCGATGAAAATTTTTGTAATGTTTTTCTCTACTTCCGGTATTTTAAAACGTTGGCGTTATACGGAATCCTGTAGACATAGTTATAACGTAACATCATTTCCTTTGCAGTGGCATAGATCATAGACAGATAATGTACAAGAAGGGGGAAGATTAAATCAAAGATTAAGCACCAAATAAAAAGATTTTTCATCTGTCAGATTTGCACATGACGTCAACACAGAGTTGCTTTCTCTGATGTCATAGTGGGGTCATACTATATTTGGGGCTGTGGCGTCCTGAAATTATTTATTCTACAAGTCAACACAACAAAGACAACACAAAATAATGCAAACAAGACAACATACAAGAAGAATTGTTGAATCTAATTTCACATGCCTCATAATGATTATGAATACTTTGCAGTTCTTTAGTTACACTTGTATGTGTCATTGTGTCATAGTTTTATTACATAGCGTTAACGTTTACTTACTAGCAAAGGGTAATATTTAGTACAACTCTGGACATATTGCTGTCTTACAAAATACTATATTGTGAAATTTGGAAGTAGAGTGACGTTATACTTATAAGCTTGTGTCTTTTCGACGGTGTATTAATATTGGAGAGTGCGTATGAACTTATATGAAGCCCACATGCTTGACACTTGCACTACAGCTATTGTTAGTTGAAGTCGTGACCCCAATGTTTTATATAACGTACTTCAAGTTCAACACTGAAATGTCCTTGTCATGTTGTCAGGTCAAAGTATTTTCAGTGTTTGAAGTTTGTAGTTGAAACAATTCGTTTAGTACAATAGTATTACTATATACACATGTATACGCAAAACACATAATTTGTGGTGCCATGGTAAGAAGTGAAGTTACGAAAAATAGAACCGTCCACAACAATCTCACGATTTACAGTACATGTTAGCTGATCGCTTGCAAGTGGACAATATCAGTCACAGATATTCATATTGATACTACATAGCTACATTGCCCACTAGTAGAATTGCTGTGTGGTGAATATTGGCTTCAATTTACTGAGACAAAGATTGGTAGAGGGGATTTCATTATCACCCATATCTCAAGCCTCTCAAATTGGTCCATTTTTTATCCTACTAAGTAAATCTCTTATCAGAGTGCTATAAATACATATGAGCCTGAATTGAATATATTCAATATTTTATATATATCTTCAAATATATTCAAGAAACCGACAGCAGTATAATCTAAACCAGGATAGTGAGTGAGTGTGATTGCTTCTACCGGTTACCGAGCATATAATACGGCCCTCACTTTCCGTTTTATTTTCTTCAATTATCTAACTCAGTCACTAGCTGTCTTTGTTTCTTTAATTTTTATCAGTATGTTGTCAGATGGTTTTATCAAATTTGTTGTGTTCCTTTTAAGTAGGAAGCCCTTGTTGTTGTCATTGTTTATTTATATAAGATATTCAGGTGTTAATTGTTGTGTAGATAAGATAATTAAAGAAGCCCCACAGGTGAAAGGCTTGTAGTGTTTGTAAATGAAAAGATCCATTCTGCACAGAGGGAACCAAGCTGAGATTGTGTAGAACAGAAGTGACTGTAACAGCTGGTAGGCCCAGGAAAATTCATGTTGTGTTTCTGATTTCAATAATGAAAAATTATTGTCAGTAGGTACCGGTAGGGATTCTCTCTCTCTCTCTCCCCCTCTCTCTCTCTCTCTCTCTCTCTCTCTCTCTCTCTCTTTTAGATTTTGGCTGAGTGAGGCTGAAAAAAATTGGCTAAAATTTTGTACATCAGACTAAGGACTTTCCTTCTTTTTGCTTGTGGGGAAGGGACAAATATGTTGTCACCCCAATCCTGGATAGTGTGTGTGTGAGTGATTTGCTTCTGTAAGTGCATGAAATAAGCAGCATTTCAAAAGTTTTGAAATTCAGAATCAGATGTCAGATCCTAACGGTTGACCCAAAAAAAATGCTAGGGTTGTCACTGGCAGGTTTTTGCTAGAGTTGGTTGGGAAACTGGAAATACAACATTTTTTCCTAGCGAGGCCTTTAGGTAATGAAAAGCCAGAATTGTTGTCTTGCTGGATAAATGATTACTGTTCTACATTTGATAGTGTACAAAAACTAATGTTTGTTTCTGACGCCTAGTCACAACAAACATATCAGCACCCCTCAATTGTCCGGTTGGTTGGGCAGTTCAAAGAGAAGTGTGTCTAATGAGGTACAAAGTCCAGGCTGGGCAAACTTCACATTTTTTCTTTCATCCATTAGAGTTACCGGAATGTGCAAGTTTGATATCGAGAGACCAATTCATTACACATCAGTGTCCTAGCTTAGTACATTACACTTTTACAGCATATCTGTGGCCATTGTGCTATTATCTGCGATGGCCATGCTAAATTGAGAACCATTACCACTTATTTTCAAGCTGTGTAACGGTACTTTACTACTAATTGCTAGTGAATACTATACTTGTGCCAGATCGTGAAATGTTTGCAGTGGTTTTATTTTGCTGTAGGATGTTTTGACAGTATTTCTAATTCACATTTAAACATTCTATAGTACAATATATTACTAGTCATACAAGGAAGCAAGGTATCTGCAGTGTTGTGATTGAAACTGTGAAAATAAAGCCACTGCGAAAGTTTCATGATTTCTAATCAATGTTGGCCATATATAATCCATCTGTTGACCATTCTCAATGCACAAGTCAGACTTCCTCCCATGGGTACATACATGTACATATATACACCATCTGGTCTGGTCCAACACAACTAGGCCCAGAGTAATGTCATCGCATGTATCACATCAGAACAGTTTTCTTCCCTGTGCTAAATCGTGAATGTGAAAACAAAAGTATATTGTTTATGAATGTTATAATCATGGGGTATGTTACATGTACTTTTGGGTACTGATGTATTATTTTGAGTGGAGATGTGTGTATATTCTGTTTGTCTGGACAGAATAGGTTGACAGCACGTGGGTGAGGGAAGATTGACAGGCAGAAATCAAAGGTGTCAGAATCTGGCCAGGGAAAAATGGCATTATCCTCTCTTGACTTAACCCCTTGAATTTTCAGTCACTCAAAGCATTCAGTGACTGTGAAAAGGGCAATCTTCAAAAATTCTAGTACATGTATTTTTCTTAGGACTTTGTGGTCCAGGTTGATGATTAAAACCAGTGTTTAAATTGATCAGGCCTAAGGATGTCCCACTGCCACTGCCAGAACTAATGAAACTGAAAGTGAAGTGAAGACAGCAGCTGTTGACAGACATGTTTACATGGACATGTTTGTTGTCCTCTTGTTTCAGCACTGTCTAGGTGCTGGGGAAAAATAAAACACAAAATTTTGGACACTGTATTCTGTTATTTCTGTATTCTCTCCACAATGTCAGTGGTGCTGTCACTTCAAATATGAATAGAGTCCTGTTACTGTTCATACATTACAGAGAAAAATGGTAGCCTGGGTACCATCCTGGTTAGTTTACGTCCGCTCCCACAGTGGTTGGTAGCGACTGTGGGAGCGGACGTAAACTAACCAGGATGGTACCCAGGCTAGAAAAATGGTATGCTGCATTTCAATTTCATATGATACCTTAGACATTACAGTAGACTACACAGGGCTCGAAATACTTTTTTCAGCCAGGTGGCGCATGTTGCCACCTGAGTCAAAAGCAGGTGGCGCCATCAGTATTCAAGTGGCAACACTTCCAAGTTATCATTTTCTTCAAATCTGCTACTTATATCTATTACGTTTTCTTCTAGTTAACTACTTAAGTTTTATGTTATAAAATAAAGTAATGTAAAGAACACAAAAGCTCTCAAACAACAATGTTTTAATAAAGAATGCCACCTTTACATCACTTCATCACAGGGCTGCCGCCGTGGGAATGCCACGCCTCTACATGGCGGCACACTTATGCGGGTGGTGTTACGTGCGCCATGTTCTTCGTTTGCGCAAGGATAATGTTACTCTCATCTGCCAAATAAACATACCCCCCGGAATAAACATACCCCCCGGACAAATCTTCAAAATCTAATAAAAAATGGTATTAGCTCCCTTGATTTGGAAAAAAAATTGGGCATAGGTTCCCCGGATGACCCCTAACCGGGGGCCAACGGTGCTTCCACAAGTTCAACAAGTGAAAAATACATGATACAAATTGTACATGTACTTATTACCTGGAACTTGGAGCAAGTATTCCTAAGGTGTTACGGACATAATTAATATATACCAAACTTTTTAACCCAATCATATTTCCCAAACAAAATCACATATTGACACAGCTGAACAAATAAAAATGTGATTATGTCTATAAACTCATACTACTAAAAAAAAAATTTAGAGACACTCAATAAAGAAAGTAAGAAAGAAAGAAAGCATGCTCTTAATATCTGATTCTCCCAATTGTAAAAGCCCCCACAGCATCCAACCGCACATTCATAGAAACAACATTATATTCTGACACTAGAAACCAATAAATTCGGAAAATTTCACGGTAATGTTTACAAATTAACCTTTTAAAAATACGAGTGATTTTTTATTTCTGTAGTTGCCGAAAAAATTTTTTTCATGCGTGTAATACTAGGTACATGTATCTTGGACGCTTGGATGCTATCTTCACCTTTGACCACATTGCTGGAAGCAGCGTCGGCCATTTTCATTCTGTCTTTCGAGCTGTTTTTTCCGACAAATTTCAACCGTTTTAACATTTTACGGCCTCAGAAACTCATATAACGACGAAAACAAGTCGTAGTTGTTATTTTCATGCGTAAAATTTCTTCTGGGGATGGATTATTTTTCCGCCGAGCCGCCGAAAACTTAGCGTCGCATGCGGTCGGTCGGGCGGCCGGCAGGATTTTGTATCGGCGCGCTTTGCATGTAAACAAGGACAGTCGGAGTTGTTTACATCAAAATTGTGTTGTGAAACGCCAGCGAGGTGTCTGATTTTCTACCAATGAGAACGTTTTCTTTGTGGCGTCATGGCGAGATCGACAA